TTCTGAGTGCAAGCTGACATATTGTTTGATATTTCGCAATTGAGATGGCTGTATCATCCTGTTCAATCAATATATGGATTACTTGTGCAAGCCCTGGGGCCGCATCGTTGGAAAACCGCGCTTCAACATTTTTGGAACTTCGCCGGGTGCGATCACTCACTAATTTCGTAATATTACTCGAAGACATGGTGAAATTTTTTAATTTTTTTTTTNAGGGGCTGCACAGAAGGCGCCGTTCTGAGTGCAAGCTGACATATTGTTTGATATTTCGCAATTGAGATGGCTGTATCATCCTGTTCAATCAATATATGGATTACTTGTGCAAGCCCTGGGGCCGCATCGTTGGAAAACCGCGCTTCAACATTTTTGGAACTTCGCCGGGTGCGATCACTCACTAATTTCGTAATATTACTCGAAGACATGGTGAAATTTTTTAATTTTTTTTTTTTTAAAGAGAGCTCTGTGCTTTGTCGTCAGTTTGCGCTATAGTTTGTGATAGGGGACTCCGTATTGACGAAGTTACACAATATTCCAATTTGGTCTTGACTACTATGTTCCACCGTAATAGGATAGTCGGCTGTTCGCAAGAAGGGTTTGAACTTATTCTTCCGGCAACTCGCCTTCCGTAAACCTCCCCCTCCCCCTCAAACCGCACACAATCCCTCTCAACTCAATACACACCGCAGACAAGCAAATAGACAAAACGAAGCACAAGTCACTCGCGCCAGGAGACACTCAGGAGATGAACAGCCGAGTCCGTTGTAAGCGTAGCGTACACCAAACAAGCAACCATGATCGATGCAAAACCCCTTCATGTGCGCACGATGCAACCAACCATCACTTCGGTCCCTGTAAGGTCTGCCGACTGCCTCCTCCCGCCCGCCGCCGAAGAACCACTATACTTATCCACCTCGATCTATCTCTTCCGTTCCTGAAAGAAAGGAGTTCGTGCCCTCTTGCACCACGTACACCGAAAAGCACTCCATCGTATCGTGGGACACTCCAGTTGAGTGTATACTGCTGTACCATCCTCAAATGCGAAAAAACGGCCTCTATTGGCTGCCTCCGGCGGAAGGTAAACGGCAAGGCACGGCAGCACAGCAAAGCAAAAGACAAGCAAAAACACGCTGCAACATCCGCCACCGTGGACCCCAAGCACGCCAGCACGCCAGCAAGGCATCGCCATCAAAACGCATTGAACCCGACATTTTTCCTCATTTTCCTAGTCGCGAAAACCTCCCTCCATCCATTCTAGGAGGTGAAGAAACCGAGAGAGATCAAGAGAAATGGCCCCAACCAAGCAAAAACAGTCCTACCCCATCATGGGGTCGTTTAGCTGTAAAGGTCCTCCTCTTCGTCGTCCGCCGCCGCCGCACCCCCCGCCCCTCCCACAGCCCCGCCCGCCGCATTCCGGTCCGGGAACGAGAATGCCGCCAGGCTTCCTCCTCCCGGCCCCGTGATCTGCGACCGCGCCTATTTTTCAACATTCCCAGGGGTGGGTGGGGGACGTGGAATCATAAAACGATGCGGGTCGTACGGCAGGGTGCGTGTCGTACATACACGGCTTCAATGTAAGAGGCAAATCGACGTCAGCGTATTCTTCAACGAGCAGTCAGGCGGGCTTTAGAGGTCGGGCAGGTACTGTCCTGTCTACGGAAAATGCATCGGGGGAGGCGTTGCGTCAACTCTGCTGGGAGATGGCGAAACCAACGGCGTGCCAGTTGAAGCTACCTTCAGACAGATTTGCAGGGTCGTCTGTCTCTGTCGTTCTTCATTTGTCTTATTTCAGCCTCCCTTCTTACTGGCCCAACAGCGGACAACATGAGAACAAAGAACAACACACTTGCCGTCCAATCAAACGCTGGAAGCACCCACATCTGCCCCGAAAAATACTGAAGGCAAGCTTCTTCGCAAACGTATTTCGCACGCCAGGTTGCCTGGAACTGGCACGTGCACTCGAGCAAACAACCTGCCTCCTTCCCCCGCCTTCCAACCACCAGCAGCAACACCGCTACAATAAGCCCACAACGCACCTGCTGCAGGTTTTGGGCGAAGCTCGAGTATTGTGCCAGGTCCCTGTCCGACACCGAGCGGCGCGCGTTGCGGACGGCGTCCTCGAAGTGGCGGGGAAGGATCTCGGGAACGGTGTCCTCCTCCTCCACGTCTTCCATCGCGTCCCCGGCCTCGCCCCGGAGGCGCTCACGCTCCATGTCCTGCGATACACAAGGAGTACATGGTCAAATTCCGCGAAAGCAACGAGGCGGAATTGTTAGGTACCATCTTGTACCACAATAGCGCACCTGCCGGGTATGAACCGCAAATGACGATTAGAACCCCCCGGAAGCGAGGACGCTCCTGCGACGTATATACAAGAATAATAAAAACCCAGGAAAAAGCATCGCCTGCGGCAGACGGATGCGCGCGCATTGTACGCACCTTCATGATGTTCTCCCTGATGGCGATCTTTGCCGCGCGCTGGCAAATCTCGGTAAGATCTGCGCCGGTGAATTTCTCCATCTGCAACAGAGAGAGACAGGCCACATCACGGATTCGGGTCATGACAAGATGGGCAGTACGTCGGGAGATTGTTTGAACCAGGACGCAACTTGGGAGGGCATGTGCTCTGCCTGTGCACCAAGCGCATGTCAGCTCAGACAGACTTCAATGAGCGCCGCAGCACCAAACAACAACAGACGGATTTGAATGAACGCCCGAAGGCACAAGACCACACATCGACAACAACACGATAGACGTGGTTGAACAAACGCACACGAAAAAAAAAAAAACGCCGCCACCACAAACGAGCAAAACACACCTGGGAGGACAGGTACTCCAGGTCAACCTCCTTGCTGATGGGCGTCTTGCGCAGCACCGCCTTGAGGATGGACAGCCGGCTGTCATGGTCCGGCATGGGGATGTAGATCAGCTGGTCCAGACGGCCGGGACGCATGAGGGCCGAGTCGATGATGTCGGGCCTGTTGGTAGCGCCGATGATGAACACGTTCTTCTTGGACCCCACACCGTCCATCTCCGTCAGCAGCTGAAAGGCAAGGCAAGGCAAGGCAAGGTAGGGACAACGCAAAGAGGGTAAGGCATGGGGGCATCGTCTATGTTCGAAAAACTGAAGTCGAGACGGACTACTAAATATTGATGAAGACAGCAAGCCAGCGCTCAAGTCGACAGGTCATCTCCCCTTTGGAAGCCGAGGTCTCCGTGCTGAAAATGTTCCCCCCGAGAACACCAGCAACACCAACAAAACAAGCCTCAACACACAAAAAGGCAGCCACGACAAGTATCAGGTATGCTACCTATGCACACCAGGAACATCTTCACATGCAAGACCACCGATAGCGAGCCATGTGCCGTAACCGACCTGGTTCATCACGCGGTCCGCCGCTCCTCCCCCGTCCCCGCTGGATCCCCCCCTCTGCCCCGCGATGGAGTCGAGCTCGTCGAAGAAGAGCACGCACGGTGCCGCCGCCCTAGCCTTCTCGAACACGTCGCGGACGTTCGCCTCCGACTCTCCGAACCACATCGTCAAGAGCTCGGGCCCTGCGCGAAACAGGCGGGGGGAGGGCGCACCGTGCATCAACTAGGGGGTTGGGGGAGGAGGTGTTGTATGCCCGGTGCGGTGTGAGGAGAGGAGGAAGGGCAGCGAGGGGTGAGATGCTCACAACACAGCCAGCAATCAACCATCCCCACCCAGATGAACACGTCTGCATCGAAAAAAAACACTTCAATCCCTTGCTCGCGTTCGTAACCCCCCCCCCCCCCCCCCCCCCCCCCCCCCCCCCCCCCCCCCCC